TTTGATATCTCTGTGAATGCACTTCAGCAGTGGTGAGTTCAGCTGGTTAGAAAAGTGTGTGAGGGTTTAACAGCCTTAAAACATACAGATAGTGAGAGAATTGCACATATTGAGGGTTATTTTTTAGAACACATCACCCCCGTAACAAACCAGTGTATATTGCCAAATGTTCAGGTTAGAAGAGACATAATAATTTGCTGTGTCAATACAGATATGAACATCCGGATTATACAGTTGGTCTTCTGGTTATGATGGAGCTATTGATGTTCTGTTCACCTTCCCTTACTATACTTCACTCCACCCTGAACCAGGTCCTTCTTTAGTCCCTCTTGGTCCTGGTTCTATCCAGGAAAAGATGGTACTAAAGTGTTCTCAATGACAGTGATTGGCCAGAGTTCTGTTGGAAGCTATGGTTACCAAGGAATGTCCCCGGATACTTGTTTGTTGTAGGTAAATTGCTAGGATACATACCACATACTAACGCATAATGGAAACACAACCGAGTAGAGAAAGACTGGTGGGACAGTATGTATGAGAAGCACGCAGCACAAGATAAATTAATGATAGATCTGTATTAAAATAAAATAAAATGACATATAATAAAATCTAATATGAACAAAAATCTCTAACTCTAGCATATACAAATCTGTGAAAATCTCTATCTTTAGCTTAAAATGGAAAGAAGTCTGAAATCTCTAAGCATGATGGAGAAGCAAGACTTAACTAGGTTATTGAGAGTCAAAGTGTGTGTTGTTTTTGACCAAAATCTCAGCAGCACAGTCTTCCAGCCCCTGTTTGTCCATCTGTCTTTTCAAACCATCCTTCATACATGTATTTATAGGAAGGCCTTCATGCGTGAGGCTCGGTGCGAGAGTGCAGGAGCAGTCCGAGTCAGCCCACGGTGAAGTCAGACGTTGATTGACAAATGCGTTGCTTGTACGGCTGCTCTGGCTCGCCCTGGTGGAGTCCTCTGTGAGTGGGGGGTTGCATCATGATCGCTCAGACATCTGTACGATCGTGAAGTCGAGAGCAAACTTTCACCATGGCTGCAAACGTGACTCATCGCTGATTTTGTTTTGTTATGTCCAGAACAAAAAGGCACAAAGGCAAATCTCTCAAATTCCTCACTCAGGACTGGGCTTTTTTCTGGTTATTCTCTTTCTAGTTTCTCCCTGGTCACTCTCTCTCTGGTCTCTCTCTGGTCACTCTCGCTCTGGTCTCTCTATGATCTGTCTCTGGTCATTCTCTCTGGTTTCGCTATGGTCTCTCTATGTTCTCTCTGGTCTGTCTCTGGTCTCTCTCTAGTCTCTCTCTGGTCTCTCTCTGGTCTCTCTCTCGTCTCTCTCTGGTCTCGCTATGGTTTCTCTATGGTCGCTCCCTGGAGCTACAGGAGTTTATTTTTACATGAAAGTCAATAGGAGCCAGAGTTAAAACTTCTCTATTGGGCTTCATAGAGGTAGCAGGTTAGCATCGTCCATCTGTATGCAGTCTATGGTCCGTTAGCACTGTTACACCCTGGCTCTACAGGTGCAACATGAAGGACAACAGGTACAGCGTATTCGCCCCCCTTGAACCTTTCAACATTTCAGGCTTCAAACATAAAGATTTGTCAAGAATCAACAACAAGTGGGACACAATCGTGAAGTGGAACGAAATGTATTGGATAATTTAAACTTTTTTAACAAATAAAAAACTGAAAAGTGGGGTGTGCAATATTATTCGGCCCCCTTGCGCTAATACTTTGTAGCGCCACCTTTTGCTGCAATTACAGCTGCAAGTCGCTTGGGGTTTGTCTCTATCAGTTTTGCACATCGAGAGACTGGAATTCTTGCCCATTCTTCCTTGCAAAACAGCTCAAGCTCAGTGAGGTTGGATGGAGAGCGTTTGTGAACAGCAGTGTTCAGCTCTTTCCACAGATTCTCGATTGGATTCAGGTCTGGACTTTGACTTGGCCATTCTAACACCTGGATACGTCTATTTGTGAATCATTCCATTGTAGATTTGGCTTTATGTTTTGGATCATTGTCCTGTTGGAAGATAAATCTCCGTCCCAGTCTCAGGTCTTTTGCAGACTCCAACAGGTTTTCTTCCAGAATGGTCCTGTATTTGGCTCCATCCATCTTCCCATCAATTTTAGCCATCTTCCCTGTCCCTGCTGAAGAAAAGCAGGCCCAAACGCATGATGCTGCCACCACCATGTTTGACAGTGGGGATGGTGTGTTCAGGGTGATGAGCTGTGTTGCTTTTTTCGCCAAACATATCGTTTTGCATTGTGGCCAAAATGTTCGATTTTGGTTTCATCTGACCAGAGCACCTTCTTCCACATGTTTGGTGTGTCTCCCAGGTGGCTTGTGGCAAACTTTAAATGAGACTTTTTATGGATATCTTTGAGAAATGGCTTTCTTCTTGCCACTCTTCCATAAAGGCCAGATTTGTGCAGTGCACGACTGAGTGTTGTCCTATGGACAGACTCTCCCAACTCAGCTGTAGTTATCTGCAGTTCATCCAGAGTGATCATGGGCCTCTTGACTGCATCTCTGATCAGTCTTCTCCTTGTTTGAGATGAAAGTTTGGAGGGACGGCCGGGTCTTGGTAGATTTGCAGTGGTCTGATACTCCTTCCATTTCAATATAATTGCTTGCACAATGCTCCTTGAGATGTTTAAAGCTTGGGAAATCTTTTTGTATCCAAATCCGGCTTTAAACTTCTCCACAACAGTATCTCGGACCTGCCTGGTGTGTTCCTTTGTCTTCATGGTTCTCTCTGCGCTTTAAACAGAACCCTGAGACTATCAAAGAGCAGGTGCATTTATACGGAGACTTGATTACACACAGGTGCATTCTATTTATCATCATCAGTCATTTAGGACAACATTGGATCATTCAAAGATCCTCACTGAACTTCTGGAGTGAGTTTGCTGCACTGAAAGTAAAGGGGCCGAATAATATTGCACGCCCCACTTTTTAGTTTTTTATTTGTTAAAAAAGTTTAAATTATCCAATACATTTCGTTCCACTTCACGATCGTGTCCCACTTGTTGTTGATTCATGACAAAAAATTTAAATTTTCTATCTTTATGTTTGAAGCCTGAAATGTGGCGAAATGTTGAAAGATTCAACATTACTTTCGCAAGGCACTGTAACTAAAAGTTAATATAATTTATTAACAGAAACAAAAGTCTAGGGAAATAACACAAAGAAAACCAATAGATAAAACATACAGATTGTGGTTTAGTTTTTAGAACACATCAACTCATCTTGAGTGAATAAAAACTCACCATATAAATAAAATGTATACTGACGATTGTTTTTGATTGAGTCATAAAATTGCAATCATGGCGCTAATGTAGCAAATGAGGTGTTGGAAATTCTAGGAAAGAACTGCATTTAACCAGTTTTTGAAAGAAATCTCTTATTTGACTTATTTGTCATAAAATGGAAACTAGCTCACAACATTTTCAGGGGATTTTTGGAATTCAAACGATTTGATTGAGACCAAAATAACTGCTAAGTACAATACAATACGGTACAATTTATTCTTGTATAGCCCTAAATCTCATCAGAAGTAATCTCAGAGGACTGAACAAAACCATTGAAATCACCAACACAGGTCAGAGAATCAACAGTTAAAACACATTAAAGAATATAGTCAACACATGTTGATAAATGTCCATACATGTTGTAGAATGTTAAAGTGTCCTGGATTATCACCACAGTCCGTCTTGTTGGACACTAACTGTCCAACAACCCTCCTGCATCGGCAAGGAAAAACTCAAAAACAGTAAGTAAGTCATCTTTATTTATATAACGCCTTTCACAGACCAGAGTCATAGAGCGCTTTACAATTGTGGACATTTATCTCTCACTCCACAGAGATGGGAGCGGTACAGGAGGCGCATGCCCTGCTATTGTTCATATTTTTAGTGGTAGGGGGAACCCGGAGCACCCGGAGGAAACCTACGCAGACACGGGAGAACATGTAAACCTGCTCTGGGAATTGTAGTAGTTTGAGAATTCTAGAAGTGTTAAAAGTCCCGCCCCTACAATTGACAAAAAATGCTGTTGTTGCACCATGTTTGCCAATTCCTCTATAAAAGTTTAAATCATTACCGGTCCACGTCCGCCCTCCCCCCTCTTAACCCCCCACCCCCCCCCCCCACTCTGAGCTCGGCACATTATATGTAACAGCTCTCTTTGTGCCCGCTGCCACTGTCTGATGTGGAAACTGTTTGAAGCGTGTGTAAATGGCCTCCGTTCTGAGCGCTTCACAGGAGAGCAGCCCCGACTCCAGGTCAGGGGGCCGCTGCCAGCCGGGGGCCCTCATCACCTCTGACAGATGCAGGGGCCCGGGGAGCTGGTGCTGACAGGCCTCTTCTCGCGGCACACGAGGCCCCAAAGGCAGGACGTATGTAAACAAAAGCACATTATCGCTCTCACACTTTCATCTCTGGGCCAAACACTGAGGCGTTTCATGGCGCCATCCACACGGGGCACTGTGGTTTCAAAGGAGCTTTCTACTTGTGCAAAATTATCCTTTTTAGCGTCCTGACAGCGTCCCTCGTTAGAAACAACTGAAGCATCAGGACATTTGGTTTAGTTTAAGTCCAGGCTGAAAACCGTTCTTGTTAGCTGTGCATATGACCAACTGTTTACCATTATTATTATTATTTTGAATTTCACATGTGTGCTATAGGGTTTGTTTAGGGATCCATCATTACACCATGAAACAGACAATGGGAGAGCGGGTGTATAGCAATGAACAGACTACAGTTGAAGTCCAATTGGCGAACCATAAACACACACATTAAACATTTCTTCAATTTAAGACAATAAGAAAAACCACGTCTGTGAACCTTTCATTGAAATCTCTGTCTTACAGGATACTATATAAGTACATTATATACTGTACTTGTATTCCGTTAAATAATGTCATTTCTGGTGGGAAAAGCTGGAGTTAATCTCTCTAAGTGCAATAAGGATGTGGCCAAAAGCTGTGAAAAGTAAAGTTATGTCTTCCATATGCAGTCCATGGTTCCAACTCTCACTTATTGAAAAGACAAGACTTGGTGAAAAACAGTTTTTCCGTCACACACAGTTCTACCCGAGCGACTGTCGCATTTTAGCAAGTTTCCACCAAAATCAAAACTCCAGAATCTTGCTTCAGCCCTCGTCGTGATCCGTGACTGTTCCGTGAGAAAGTTGTCTCTCACTTCCTCAACTTTTCTTACACATTTTTAGCTCGCCTGCAGCCCAGATTTGAAGCCTGATTGCACCAGCCTCTTTCCCACTAAAACTCATTCTCAGTCATATTACTCAACAACTTCTTTCGTTGACCTTGTTTTCACATTTTTCACACTCAAATCTCTTGTCCTCCCATTGAACGTGTTCTGTAGCATTGCCCCGGTTTGACCTGTGCTGAAAGAGTTCCATATGCAGCAGGTTGAATGAGTGCTTTGAACATCCCTCGGTCCGGAGTCGCAGAGGCAGTGAGTGAAAGCATGATGGCTTTGACCCCTTTCCATTATAGATAACATAACAGCAACCATGGAAACGGTCACAATCTTCAATGCGCATTCGGTCTAGCGTTGACAACCTCGCATTGAGAATGGGTTTGCCGTTGCAAGGTGAAAGTTATTGGTAAGTTATGGTTGAGATGTAAGTAAGTATATAAGTGGGCTGCACAGTGGCTGAGTGGATAACACTCTCGCTTCTCAGCAAGAAGGTCCTGGGTTCGAATCCCGGTCGAAACAGGGCCTTTCTAAATGTGGAGTTTGCATGTGGAGTTTGCATGTTCTGTCTGCGTAGGTTTCCTCCGGGTACTCCGGTTTCCCCTACCTCTAAAAACATGTAAAATAGGTCTGGCATGCGCCTCCTGTTTGGTGACCTCGCTCCCATCTCTGTGTGGAGTGAGAGGACAAGTGCCCATAAATAACAATTGTAAACCGCTTTGTGACTCCTGTCTGTGAAAGGCAGTATATAAATAAAGATCACTTACTTACTTACTTAAGTAGCAATTCATCTTTATTCATATAGCGCCTTTCACAGATCAGAGTCACAAAGCGCTTTACAATTGTTGTGGGCATTTTTCCTTTCGCTCCACACAGAGATGGGAGCAGGGTCGCCAAACGGGAGGCGCATGCCAGACAGATTGTACATGTTTTAATATAGGTGGTAGGGGAAACCGGAGCACCTGGATGAAACCTACGCAGACACGGGGAGAACATGCAAACTCCACACAGAAAGGCCTGGAGGTGGAATTACATTGCTACATATTTTGTGAGAGGGGGGGAAACTGGAGACGAACACAGGTAGAAACTATTCACCCGCTGTCACGATGTCTGTTTCGTGGCGTGATGATGGGAACCCTGAACCTGCTCCTGTGATCTGGTCTTCCTGCAATCCTGCACCAGTCCTCCAGCAGAGACCAGAGAGAGACCAGACAGACCAGAGGGAGACCAGGCAGACCAGAGAGAGACCAGACAGACCAGAGACAACCAGGCAGACCAGAGGTAGACCAGACAGACCGGAGAGAGACCAGGCAGACCAGAGAGACACTAGTGTGCAGACAAAAATACAGTCATATACATGACACTTTTCTCATAGTCCTGTACATAGAACAAACATACAGAATATCATTATGGTAGAACTGTGACAAATGTAAACAATAAAAAACACACCTTGTCGTGTTAGGAAAAATGTTCCGGATGTAAAAAGATAAAGTATTGTATGAAATCAGATTGACAGATTTTGGTTTTGAACGAGTTCAACAGTTTTGTATGTGATGACCAAAGCCATGAAATGAGCTTTAGTTTTACAGGGAGAAACTATTTAGTCGTGATAAGTTTTATTTTGACTAACAGGACAGAAGCAAATGATGATGTTATAAAACAGAGAATTGTATGAAAGTAACTGATACATGAACAAAAGCATTTGTAATCTGTTCAAACGAGAAACTTCTGCGATTATGTCACACGTGACTCAGTGTTTTGTATGTTTGTTCTATGTAAATACTGTATGTGTGCTATTTTTGTTGCACAATGCTATAGAATTGCAAAGAGCATATGCAGTAAATATGTGAAAGACATACAGTACATACATATATATCTCACTAAATACAGTCACAATGAAAACATGACTAAATCATTTGACTGTTGTTCATAAACACTGGTGTCAGGACTTATTCTCAGACACAGACCGTTCTGTTGAGGAATTAAGTTCATTTTGAGGAAGTGACTTTTTAGCAAGTTATCCATGAGGTTTTGCCGTTTGCACTAATTGTTCTGAGAAATGCACAAACTGATTACAAAATATATACTGTGCATTCTCAGGGGACACAGCACTGCCATGGCATCTCTTCTGCATTGTCCACATGTATCTGTGGACTATAGTAGTACTCTCTTGCAGCTCTCCCTCCCCCGCACGAATAAACAAAGCCCACCCCAGGCCCCTGCTGTTATAAGTCATTACCTAAATTTGCAAATCAATACATGCAAATGTTAGCAGCCAACCTATCCTTCTTTTCAAAACAGGGGCCAATTTCGCTTGGGTTTGCTAGTGTTAAAACTAAGCAGACATTTGTGAGATTTCATAACACTTTGAAGCAACTTTTGTTAAAGTTAAACTCATCATTCTATCAATGTGCAGAAGCCAGTACCTTTCCCTTGTTGTGTCTATCTGAAGGCCAAGCTACAAGCACACTGTGGAAGCTGCTGATTGGAGGTCTCCATGCCTCCGCTCTGTATAATACACATGCATTCTATTGTATCTGTGTTCGTGTTCGTGCTGTGTCTACCATCGACAATAAAACATGTCTTCTGTCTGAATTTAAGACGCGATCCCAGACATGTCACCTTCTTCAGGTGGTGGAAGAATGCGGGCCTTGTCTGTAACATCTAGAGAACAGAAGACTTTTTTTTTTTTACACAAAAAGTGTTTTTTTTTTTTAAGCCAAAACTGAGAAACCTCAAGAGAATGCATCTGGACCAGCACACTTGGACAATCTGCACAGCCCCTGATTCCAGTCAGTCCTGCTGTGAGCTGCTGAGACATGGACAACACCAACGTCCTCTTTTGCATGGACATCATTTGGAACAATTGGATTACACAATTTGGACATAATTTGGAACAATCTGGATTTCTGAATTTGGACATAATTTGGACTGAATTGGATTGCTGAATCTGGACACTGAAGCTGAAACGTGTGATTGAAAGACACATCACAGCTCATGATGAGAACCTTCTATTAAATCTGACTTGTGTGTGTATTATTTTGATCTGTATGTTTTGTGAAGCGCTTTGTGATCCTGGACAGTCAAAGGCTCTATATAAATACACTTTACGCAACAGGGATGTGTGACCCATCTATTGCTGTGGCAGGCTCTGCGCTGCGTAATTATGCACGGCTATTTGTATTCCTCATTCACATCTGGTAAAGCAATGTGTTATTTCATTAGATTTGTGTAACCCTCACACAGACACACACCCCAATAACGCATCGATGGTATTGCTCACTCACAAATGTCTCACTGCCCTGTCCAGAGTGCGCAGCGAGTGCCGTGAGAGGTCGCGCCACATGTGCAGAAGTTTTGGCTCCAGAGTTTTTGTGAAATCTGGACCGCAAACGCTCTCTGAAGTGTACAGCGCCTCAATGCGCACTTCTACCCCGAGCCAGGCTGCGTCCAAGACGCTGCAGACGCTTCATTCAGAGCCACCGCTGCATAATATATATGAATTATTCATTCATTCAATCAATCTATATTTATTCACTTCTACAATTCAAGAGAGATTTTTCTAATGTATCAAAACATTTTAGCAAATTTGTTCAAAACGCAGCTGAATATATAGAGTATATTTATTTTTACATAAACATGAACAAACAAACGTCCCTTTTGAGGCTTCCAAACAGTCTTTTAGGCCGGCTTCCTGCTGACCTGTCACGAAGACGGGGCGTGAAACACACGATTGCTGCATAATTCTAGGTGTGACTTTCATAAATATTTTCGTATTCAGTCGATTTATCAACACCCGCAGCTGCGTACGCTCAGATCTGGGCGGATCTCACATGTTCATAAATCCGACAGTGGATTTTGGGTAAATGGAATATACACCCAAAATGTACACCTTTTTTTACGCAAGTTTCATAAATGAGCTTGTGTGTATGTGCGCGCGTGAGTGCGTGTGCGTGTGTGTGTGCGTTTGAGCCATATTCTTTGAAACCCCAATTCCAGCTAGCCTTTGTAGTTTGCAAGCGAATTTGGCCTACTTACTAATCTGCAGGCCTACTCTTTCCATAACGATATTCTCTCTTTTTGGAAAGATCACCAACGTGATGCA